TTAGGGGGGGCGCGGCACTAAAGACCTCCTGGGGTTACCCCAGCCCTGGGCCTCCAGCTTGCACGCCAGAACTCGGCGGCGAGCGATGGGGGGGAGGTGAGAAGGAGGAGGCCTCCTCAGAAGGCGGCGGGAATTCTCAGAAGCCCTCCAGTCTTATGAAAAGCTTTTTCGGCGACTTCAGAGAAGGCTTAGAGAACACCTCTCGGAAGGCCAGGGGACTTCCGAACCTCCTGAGAAGGCCCGCCCCTTCTCACTTCCCCCCAAGCTCGTCGCCGAAAAACACGTGCGAAATTCGACCAGATCGCACAATTCGAATCGGGTCAAAAACGGATCAGATCGTCCCAAGCCGAATCGAAATCGGATCGCCGCGCTTGGCTCTGGCTAGCCCTGGCCGATGCGGGTGAGTCGAACCGAATCGGATCGGAATCGCAGCCCCAGCCGGCGAATCGAATCGCATCGAATCGGATCGCAAGCTGCCCTGCCAGGCGCACGTTGGATACCCTACGCGCGTGGAAAACGTGCCAACTGCATGCCCAGGCGCATGCTGGATATCCTGCTTTGGTGCCGACCCCTCCCTCGAGCAGGTACTTTTACGTGTGAAGGATCCGCTGGCCACAGGGACGCACCCTGTTTTCCACCCGATCTGGTCTACAGCCGACACTATGATGAAGAAAACTGTCATCTGAGAAATCTGGGTCAGCTTTCCGGAAAGGGTTGATAACAAACCTGGGCCAGGTTCCGTTGTTAACGCTGAAGGGCGAACGTGCCCAAGAAACTGAGCCAACTTTCCAGCAAGTTTGTCAAGAAACGCTGGCACAGCTTTTCGGGAGGAGGTTTCTTAATCAGATGCTCGCTCGTAGTGCCAGAGGCCCGACAAAACAAAGAGAACCCCGAAGTGGAGCCCTTACCGGGGTAAAGGGGCGTGCCAGGTGCCTCCAAGAGAAATCATGCAGGCCTGTTGGTTGCCCTCCCCTGGCCTCCCGCTTGCACGCCGCCTCCCGTGCCAAGCGCATGTTGAATACCCCCCTCTGGCGCCTACTGCAGGTTAGTGTCGTGCCAACTTTGGCGTTGGTCTATCGGCCCTTTCCGACACGTCCGATCGTTCCACGTCGACCGATTTTGGGTCGCCGGTGGCGTTCAACGTTGAACGCCGGCGGCGGGGTCGCCGCCGGTCGACGCGACGCGAACCTACCGTACGCACGTGAGAATACATGTCACATGCACGTCGAAGGTCATCTTGGAATTGGACACCCCCTCTGGCGCCCAACCCCATCGCGCACCTGTTTTTGAGTGTGGAGGATCCGCCGGCCACTCCGGCGCACCCTGCTTCCCACACTTGTGGTCTCGGCTGAAGGCCCGGCAACACAAAGGGAACCCTGGGCCAGAGCCCCTACTGGAAAAGAAAAAGGCGAGGCCGTCGTCACCGTCGCCGTCGCCGTCGCCATCGCCGTCGCCATCGCCGTCGTCATCGTCGTCGTCGTCGTCGCCGTCGTCGTCGTCGTCGTCGTCGTCGTCGTCGTCGTCGTCGTCGGCGTCATTGCCGTCGCCAGCGCCGCCGTTGCCATCGCCGTCGCCGTCGCAATCGTCTCCCTTGGCGGGCGCCGAGCCACTTCAGAAGCCGAGGAACGGAACGGAGCTGGACGCTTCTGCCTTGTGTGTTGAAGGTCGCTGGGGGTGCAGCGTTGTTTCCAGGGCCAGATCCCCGTACGCTCGGCGGGCGCGCTTGATAGGTCAACAGCAATCCTTACCGCCGCCCTTCGCGAGAAGCTCTGATTTCAGGTTTGCTCTTGCCCACGATTGGGCTGCTCATGCTTGCTCTTGCCCTACAAAAGCATTGCCCTCTCCCCCGTCGCCCCAGAAACACAGACCGCGTTCGCCACCCCTCAGCGAGCTTCAACTTGTGTGGGCCTCTGGGGGGGGCCTCCAGGGGGGCCCCCGCGGGCCTTCGTGGAGGAGGAGGAGGAGGAGGAGGAGGAGGAGGAGGAGGAGGAGGAGGAGGAGGAGGAGGGGGGCCCCCGCGGGCCTTCATGGAGGCAAAAGGCTGGTGGCGTAGCGCTGACGCCGACACGGGTCAGGCGTGGCCCTGCCCGCCCGCCTGGTGCTCGGGCATGTGCTCGGGGAGGCTGGCAGTCCACCCCATGGGGTCTGGCTGAAGGCCAGACTCCCAGAGATCCGACTCTCCAAAAAGCAGTGGAGCGGCGGGTTTTTGGTCTTCTTCGGCCTCATGGGGCCCTTGCTGGGCCTCGGGACCGTCACACAACTACTGAGGACGAAAAGCCGGCCCCAGGGAAGTGGTCCAGACCTCTGGGGCCCACGCGTCGAAAAAATTGGAGCGGCCGGATGTCTGAGCTGGTACAATGGCTGATCGCAACGCAGCCCTGCTGAGGAGCCGCCTCCGCGGTCGGTGCGGCCCTGCCCGAGCCGGCGCTCCACGCACGAGGCCGCGTGGCCGGGGGCATGCGCCCAGGCCCTTCAGGGCGGAGCGGGCCTCGCCGAGTGGCCAGCGGTCTGGGAGCCTTCTCGGAAAGGCAGTGCCACTTCGGTGAAGGGGAAGATGAAGAGGAGGAATGGGCGCGCAATAGGAGGCTACCCCCCTGGAGCCAGCCTGGTGGGCGAGGAATCACCGTCTAAGCATCACATCTCAGCTCGCGGCAAGTGTTGCGGCCAATACTGGGTCCGCCCTGTCGGGGGACGCCCCCCCCGGCCCATTCTACTGACCGGAACTGCCGTCACCCGACAAAAACACCAGCTACGGCAGCCCTGGTTGAGTGATTCTGGCCAATTCGGGAGGCTTCGGGGCCCAGTCGCTGGCCGGATCCCCTTATTCGGGGTCCTGGCTATCTCCGATCTTGAGCCTATCCCCCTTGATGTTGCCCCCGACCGGCCACACGTGAGAGTGACCCTAGGCAAGAGTGACCTTTGGTGAGCGGCTTCCCGGGGGGACGCGGGGTGGCCAAGCCCAGGCTCGCAAGCGGCTGCTATCGCATCGCGCTCAGCGATCGGGGGCACCCCAATGAACCCGCACCAAAAATCGCTCCGGCCAAGGTCACTCCTAGAGTCGGGCCGCCGAAAGAAGGAACGCTAAATAAGGAACGAAGCCCCTTTTGGCCCTGTAAGCGCCTCCGTGCCCCAGGAGGGCAAGAGGAACAGCCCTGGAGGAACCTAAGGAACATCGAGCCCCTTCCGAACCCAAACTGCTCCTTACTTCAGCGCCTTGACTGTACGTCGAGTCGACCCGACTCGGCGCCGAGCGCCCGTGTCGGCGCCGGCGCCGCATCGAGACCTGGGCGCGAGCCTGACGTGGGACCCCTGCCGCCAGTGGCGCGCGGGGCGCCCCGGAGGTAACCCGCCCCGGCCGAGCGATGGGGGAGGCCCCGGCCGCTCGAATGCGGGGCGCTGAGGGGCGGGGGTGCTTGCCATCAGGGCTGAACCTCAAGGGTTCTTTTCGTTTTCGTTTTGTTTTCGTTTTCCCTCGTTTTGTCCTCAGTGCGCCTTTAACGCAAAACGAAATCGAAACGAAAACGACCCACGAAATCGCCCAAACACCGTTTAGGTCCACCCCTGCTTGCCATCGCTCGGACGTCCATTCCCTGTGCATGCCTCGGTATCGTGAATGCCTGTTTTGCCAAGGAGGATCCAGGATGCTCCCCGATGGTCCCCGCCGAGGAAGAGGGGCACACGTCCGAGCGATGCCAGTGGCAGGACGAAGCCAGGACGAGGACGAATTCGGGTGAGGATGAAACGGGCGGCCTGAGCTGAACCGAACTCGGCGGCGCGCCCAAGGGGGGTAGGGGGTAGGGGAGGCTGCTTCGAAGAAGCTCTTTTCCCCTCCGTTATTCCCCCTTTTTCGCGTGGCCGACAGATGCTTCCAGGCAGGAACTTCAGACGTAAGACGAAGCCAGGACGATGATGAATTCGGGTGAGGATAGATCGCATCTCTGAGCTCTGGCGGCTCTGGAGGATGTCTCCGATGCCGCCACGTTTCAGAGCGTTTTGGCGTGTTTTGAACATGTTTTGGAACGCCCTGGAACGGATTTATCCTCATCCTAACCCTGTCCGATGGGCCCCCCAGGACAGAATGGGATCCGAAGCTGAAACTCACTGTCTGAAGCCCTTGGTTCATGGCAAAGGGGGTCTTTCGTAATGTGGTCGCAACAAAATTCAATAACTCATCCTGTGGCGCATGGCGCGTGGCAGCCACGTGCTGATAGTGTACGGCGTGCGTGTCCCGCACGAGCGACTGCAAGAACTAATGCCAATATCTTTGGGATCACCTTTGCAAAGGACCCATTAGCCCGAATCCGATTCAGAGCCCCGCCTTTGAACAGCCGACTTTGGGCCCGCGCTGGCGTCGCCGCCGCGTCGACCTGGCGCGAGCCAGCCGTGGGATTTCTGCCGCCCGTGGCCTGCGGAACGTCCCAGAACCCCGCCCCTGCCGAGCGAGGGGAGACGAGACACTGTCGGCCGTTCAAAGGACACAAGGACGAAAAAGATCCGAGGGGAGACATTGGACACAAGGACTAGGTCGGGCCTGTCCCCCTACAGGGGGATTTTTGGCGAAACATTTAAAATTGCAAGGAATGCTCCAAAACAAATTCAAAAATAGTCAAGAATCGTTCCCAGACTATTTCTGGACTATTTCTGAATATCCCTCCTGTAGAGGGACAAGCCCGACTTAACACAAGGACAGGGGGGAGATGTTGGGGTCCTGAGGGATGGGGCCCACAAGGACAGAATGAGATCTGAAGCTGAACCTGCATTGTTTGCAGCCCCTCATAGCTCGGCTCCCCAGCGGCCGTTCAGGGCGATCCTGGCCCCCCTGGGAGCGCTGTCGGCAAGGCGCAGCCGCTGGAAGGAGGCCTGCAAGCCGCCAGGAGCGTACGAAAACGGCCGAAGACCATCAACCTCGAAGCCTTCCCCCCTCCCCCCACCCTCCGGGCCCATCCCATCTTCGAGCCGCCAGCTCTGGAGGCACTGCTGGCGGGGGGGGGCGGAGGCTCCTGCCGTGCGCCGTCCGCGGAGAACGCGTCGACGCGCATGGCGTTCGTGGAGCCGACGAGGGCGTCGGCGGCTCGGATGATGGGCATGGAGAACAGGGAGAGCCCCTGCATCAACTCCTCTTAGAATGATGGTAGCCAGCGTGGACCCCTAAACCGTGTGCTTCTAACAAGATGTGTGGTGCTACCTGTGCGAAACAATCTAGGCGGTGCAGTCTATATGGGACGATCCATGTTGTTCAAAATACGTGGTGCAATTTATGTTGCGCAGTCTATGTTGTGCGACCTACGATGTGCAGTCCATGTTGTGCAAGATGTGATGTGCAATATGTGGTGTGCAATCTATGTGGTGTACTTCACTTTGACTGTCTTGAAGCTGTCCTCTCCACTGCTCGTGCAAACATCCCACCCTCCCACCCGCAACTTGGTCGCAAGACTTCTTAAGACCGTGACGGTGGGTACCAAATGGCACTTGGCAGCGACAGCGATGCCGACGACGACAGCGACAACGACGACGACGACGCCGACGACGACTACGAAGACACCGACGACGTCTCCGACGACTTCGACTACGACGACAACGATGACGTCGACGACGACGACGACGGCGACACCGACGACGACGATGACGACGCCGACGACGACGACGACGGCGACGACGACGCCGACGACGAGGACGAGGACGACGACGACGCCGACGACGACGACGACGAAGACGACGAAGACCACGTCGCCAACGAAGACAACGCCGACGACGAGGGAGGAGGGAGGACGACGACGGCAACAACGACGACAACGACGAGGGATGAGGGAGGATGGCGACGACCTGAACGACGAAGAAGGAGGGACGACGGCGACGCCGACGACGACAACGACGAGGGAGGAGGGAAGACGACGACGACGACGACGACGACGACGGCGACAAAATAGGAGGGACGACGACGAGACGCCGACGACGGACGACGACGACGACGAGGGAGGAGGAAGGACGACCACGGCGACAACGACGACGACGCCAAAAAGGACGACGACGACGACGACGACTACGAGGAAAGACAAAGGACGACGACGGCGACGACGATGACAACGACGAGGGAGGAGGGAGGACGGCGACGACGACGACGACGACGACGCAAGAACGCGCGCGCAATCTGTTGTTGAAAATCCGTGTTGCGAAATCCTTTGTGCTTGTCTGTTTTTTGGACACTCGATTTTCCAATCCTTCCGAAACCGAAGGTTTTTGAAGGATTTCGGCATGCGCGCGCGACGACGCGCGCGCGTGCACTTCGTCCCATTTGTTGCAAAGGATTGCCGCGACGGTACGTGCGCAATGGCGTTAGAACGATTTTGACATGCGCGCGCGGGAAGCCCATGTGGTAGATTTGTTTTAGTGAAGATATTGAAAGCCCATGGCTTTTTTTGAGATTTCGCAAAAACGCGCGTGTATTTTTTTTTTTGTTTGTTTTTTTCGTTTGTATATATAATCAATATTGCGAAACCCTGCGTTTCTGTATGTTTTCTTTTGTTTTGGAATCTCGATTTTGAAATCCTTCCGAAATCGAATGCTTTCAAAGGGTTTCGGCATGCGCGCGACGACGCGCGCGTGCGCGGGGTTCTTGAAGATTTATGATTTTCGGCAAGCGAGTGCGCGCGCACACTATTTTTTGTAAATGATGGCGGGGGGGGGTGATACTGGTTTGGCTGGGGTAATATGAGTTCGCAAGTAGGATGGACGAGCGTCGAGAATTAAAACGAAATCGCAATACCCCAGGGGGTATCGTTAACTCCGGGGGGGGGGGGGAGAGTCTATTCTTCTTTTAGGAAGGGGGATATACGTGGGGCACTCAGTGTGGTGCAATCCATAGGGTGAAACAGATGCTGTGCAACATTTGTGGAGCAATCTATGTTGTGCAACCTGTGGGTGCAGTCTGGGTGGTGCAATCCATGCGGTGCAATATCGGTGGTGCAAAATGTGTGGTGCGACCGGCGCTATGCAATATATGTGATGCAGCCGATGTAGTGCAACCTATGTTGTGCAATGCGTGTTGTGCAATCCATGTGGTGCAGTTCGCCCTGCCGAACTTGCAGTTGTCCGACTCCACTGCTCGCGCAATCATCCCACCCACCCACCCGCAACCTGGTTTGCAAAACCCATGCGGAGGCGATTGCGATGAATGCTTGGTGTTGGTTGGTGCATCTGTGCGGCCGCGCTAACCCGCGCGTGCTCGCGCGCGCAACGGCCAACTAGTTTGGTGCGACCGACGCGAACGCGGTATCATGGCAACGTCGACGACGGTAGGCACGACGATGGTAGTAGCGATGCTGGTGACGATGTTGACAACGACGACGGCACGGCCAGTGACGGCGCCGATGCTGATCACGCCGACGACGATGACGGCGTCCTCGCGTCGGTGATGCAGGTTTGTGAGAGGAGTTCGGCATGCGCGCGCGGCCGACGCGCGAGAGTGGCCCGTATGGCATTATTTGATATGGGCCGCGCCCCCACCCCAACACGCGCGCAAGGGGGTTCGAATGATTTCGGCATGCGGCGCGAGAGGCCCTCTTGGCAAAATTCAATGAGCATGTTGAAACACCGATGGTTCTCTTAAGAATTCGCAAGAGCGCGAACGCAGGCTTTTTTGAAAACTCGTGTTGCGAAACCGTATGTTCTTCTTGTATGGTTTCGCGACGCTCGATTTTGAAATCCTTACGGTACGTAAAGCTTTTGATGGATGTCGGCACGCGCGCGACGACGCGCGCGCGCACTTCATCACCGATTTTGCAGGAGGTTCTTGCGACAGCACGCGCGCAAGGGCGTTCGAACGATTTCGACATGCGCGCGCGAAGCCCATTTGGTATTTTATGAACTTGTTGAAGAACCGATGGTTTTCATGAACATTCCGCGCACTTTTTGGTTGAACATCCCTGTTGCGAAACAATGTGATTTTTTGCTCCATATGTTTTTGGGACAATCGGGTTTGAACTCCTTACGGAACCGAAGGTTTTTGAACGATTGCGGCATGCGCACGCGACGACGCGCGCATGCGCACTTCGTCTACTTTTTTAGGGCATACTTGGCAGCTGATGACTTGTGATAAACGAGTGTGCGCGAATCATGCTTTTTGCACAAGATAAAGAAGGGGGGGTCGATACCAGTCTGGCTAGCACGGTATGAGTTCAGATTTCGGATGGGCGATGGGGCAGAAACATATGCAAATCGCGATACGAAAAGGGGGGACATATTTTATTCTCTTCTTAGAAAGGAGAACCTATGCTATGCAATATTTGCTGCGCAATACATGTGATGCAATCGATGTAGGGCAATCTATGTGGTGCAATTCGCTTTGGCTGTCTTGAAGCTGTCCTCTCTACTGCTCGTGCAAACATCCCACCTTCCCACCAGCAACTTGGACGCAAGACTTCTTAAGACACTTGGCAACGACAACTACGCCGGCGACGCCTGCGACAGTGACGACGACGACGGCGCCGACGACTACAACGACGACACCGACAACGTCTCCGACGACTTCGACGACGACGACGACGACTTCGACGATGACGACGCCAACGACGACGACGATGACGACGCCAACGACGACGACGATGACAACGCCGACGACGACGACGGCGACGACGCCGACAAGGAGGACGACAACGACGACGACGCCGAAGACGACGACGCCGACGACGACGTCGACAACGACGACGAAGACGACGACGACGACGACGGCGTCGCCAACGAAGACGACGACGAGGGAGGAGGGAGGATGACGAGGGCGACAACGACGACAACGACGAGGGAGGAGGGAGGACGGCGACGATGCGAACGACGAAGAAGGAGGGAGGACGGCGACGCCGACGACGACAACGACGAGGGAGCAGGGAAGACGATGACGACGACGACGACGACGGCGACGAAATAGGAGGGACGACGACGACGACGAGGGAGGAGGAAGGACGACCACGGCGACAACGACGACGGAAACTACGACGCCGCCAAAGAGGACGACGACGACGACGACTACGAGGAAAGACAGGGGACGATGGCGACGACGACGACGACGAGGGAGGAGGGAGGACGGCGACGGCGACGACGACGACGCAAGAGCGCGCATGCACGCTTTTGTTGAAAATCCGGGTTGCGAAACCCTGTGTTTTTTTGTATGTTTTCTGGATGCTCGATTTTGAAATCCTTCCGAAACCGAGAGTTTGTGAAGGATTTCTGCATGCGCGTGCGACGACGCGCGCGCGCGTGTACTTCGTCTTTTTTTGCAGAAGGTTCTCGCGACGGCACGCGCGCAATGGCGTTCGAACGATTCCTTCATGCGCGCGCGCGAAGCAAGTTTGGTTGTCTTGGGGGGGGAAACTCTTGAAACACCGATGGTTTTCTGAAGATTTCGCAAGAGCGCGCGTGTAATTTTTTTGTGGAATTCGTGTTGTGAAACCCTTTTTTGTTTTTTGTTCTTGAAACTCGATTTTCGAACCCTTCCGAAACCGGAGGTTTTGAAGGATTTCGGCATGCGCGCGCGACGACGCGCGCGTGTGCACTTCGGCTTCGCTGCTCTTTTTGCGAAGGGTTCATAAAACTTATGGTTTTTGATAAACGAATGCGCGCGCATAGTATTTTTTGCAAAAGATGGCGGGGGGGGGTCGATACCGGCCCCCCTGGGATAGTGTAAATTCATATCCACGGTGGGCGATGGGTCAAAATCCTATGTGTTTTGCACCCGCTCCCTGTGAATGGATAGCCCCGGGGGGAGGGTGGTAAAACCTATTCTCTTGTTGGGAGGGAGAACTGATTTTAACAAACGAATTGACGCATCCAAGCTCTTGCAAACATTCCACCCACCCACCCGCAATTTGGCTTGCAAAACCCATGCGGTGGCGATTGCGGTGAGTGCTTGGCGTTGACTGGTCCATCTCTGCGGCCGCGCCAGTCCAAGCGCGCGAGTGCGGCGGCCAGCTAGTTTGGCGCGACCGACGCGGCCGCGGTGGCGCTGACCGTTGGGCACATCCCAGCTGGCACGTCACACTGCGAGTCGGCGACTTGGGCGGGCGCAGGTATCATGGCAACGTCGGCAACGGTAGCCACGATGATGATGGTAGCGATGCTGGTTATG